ACAAACTCTTCATATACTGCTTATTTCCTTGAACACCGAAACTCAGGGGGACCACATTACTGCAGCAGGATTTAACATAATGATATTCAATCTCAAAGAGCCACAGCAGATGCGGCCATTGGATAGTAATATCACAAAAAAGGATATAATATTTTATGAAATTATTGTGAGAGGGACAAATAAGGGTAACTAAATGGTGTATTATGCTTGAATTCATACCATCTTTAATTCTGATAGGCAACCTCTAACTGGTAGGCTTGATTTGGTCCATAAGACCTTCTTATTCAGATTACCAAGACCATGTTGGAGATTCCACACCTTTTTATAAACAGAAGATGGAGGGGAAGAGTTTCTTATTGAGAAGCAGAGAAAAAAAAAGCCATCGTTCTCTGTGTCAGTCATTGATTCCTTTTCCTCACTGTGAAAAATATTTACATTTATTCCTCACAATCACATCTTTCTTTTTGGATTCAACAGATCTGTTTTCATCGAACTGCCAAAGGAACAGAAGGAACCTGTTGCATTGTGAGCCAAAGTTCTCCCTTCAGTACACACATTGAGCGGGAACTGGAACCGTTCTGATTGGCTGACCATCTGACAGCTGAGTATAAAAGGGAGTTGTCAGACAGAGAAAGCTGTTGCCTGTCAGCCAGCATCCAGTAAATTAATTACAACATTAATTTGTAATTAATGTTACAAATAAAGATGTCAGCTGAAGTTAACTTCTGAGTCGCCTCCGTTTCTCAAGTCGCCGACTTAACACTGGTGACGAGGGTGGGATCAGCCAAGTGAGGCAACAGAGCTGAAAGTCACTTACGCTGAAGTCACCAAAATCTTCACTAACTAAAGAAGCAGAAGAAAGATGATTGCCACCCAGTCATACCCTTCATTCCATCTGGCGTCTGAAACCTGGGACTCATAGAAATCGTTTCAATTGTTTCCTCAATGCTGCTGATCTAGCAGAAATTTCTAGCCATAGGGAAAAAAAGGCGTATTTCCTGAGTTTCCTGAACTTGGTTCAGTCATTCTCTCAACTCTAGGAAGGAAGCAATGGAAAATTATTTCTGAAATCTTTCCAAGAAAACTGCAAGGACAGTCCCAACATTTGCCACCAGTCAACATTGATATAAAGGCATGCACACACACAAACAGTATCTAAGCAGTTTGCTGACCAAGTGCTAAGTGCTAATGAAGATCTCTGAAGCATTTTCCCTATCTATTTGATGCTGTCTAACAGATGCCTTTTCTGTCACTGATCATTTCCTAAGCCACACTGTCTTCCACACCCTAGTTCTCTCTTTGGTTAATTACAATTCCCAGCATCCCAATGAGCAAGTCACATAGTTCAATACACTGAAGGCTGCCAAGCTAGAACACATTTCTTCAAAGAAAGTGTGTTCCATTTTGTCTTTTTGTGTTGTCTCCAGCAATGATGCAACCTCATGAGGTGCAAGTGACCAGAATTTTATAAAGTATTCAAAATATGGTCATTACCTAAAGACAACTCTGATACAAATGAAGAAAAAAACAGTCCCAGGTGTTTCTGCCTCATGAGTTATTAGACAGCAAAGATGGATGGGAGGCAACTTCCTTTCTTTCCCTCCCACAATGGCTTTCCTAGGAGATGACCTTGATATGATGTTATCATCATGCCCATATGGGGGGTTTCTGAGAAGAGGCACACAATTCACCTCCTAAATCTGTGTTTATTAATGGAGTGACATCAAACCTTTTTTCAAAATGTTACAGATTGGAAGATCCCTGGCTGGCTTGCATAAACCCCTGTGGGCATGTTGCCAACTCTGCGACTGATGAACAGACAATACACTTTCTATGTAAAGATTAACATACAGCGTTGTGACCTAAATAACAGAACTTTCCTCTCAATTATTAAATCCTCCACATTTTGAACATCAAGTGTTTTTAGTTTTGGTTTTCAAAAGAAAACAAAGTTTTTAGTCCTCAATGAGCTAAAGCCTAAAGGTTTAAGTTCAAGTATACAAAGAGATAAATCAATGCCATAATTGTGCCTAATGAAACACTATAAAAATGGTTGTTATCATTGTTTAGAATCCAAAAGGGATTTTTAAGGAGTGGATAAGAACTGAGTCTTTTCTTCCACAACAGCAATCATTAGCAACTTTTAAATTATGCAAAAGGTATTTTAAAGTTGTACACTTTATGAATTCAAACATTTTATATAACTACCCAATCAGGAAGTGATTTTAGGGCAGAACACACAAATGGAAATCACATATAATGACTGCAAGAGAAGATGCAGCCAGAGTAAGGGGGGCAGAACTAAACATCAGTCTAGAGTCATTACGTTCCTATAAATAATCTGGAGATTAAGTCCAACCCCTCCTGAATTCCGCTGACCCTTATTTGGTGTCAATGTAGAGTTGAACTTTTAGTTGACTAGATTCTTGCATATAGGGTTGAACAATAAACCTTCTGAACTGCAACAATGTATGCTCCAGATTCTTTGCATCTGACAATGACAAAACATATATTAAAAGTAATAAAACATATCATGGCCAACTTCATCCAATCAAAAACAATGCAGATGGACACAAAATCTCCAGACTTAGTGCCTAGGGGAAAAATTGAGTTTTAAAAGCTCCTGAATCAGAATCAGGGCCATCCACATTTCAAACTGATCCAAAAGGCAGGCATAGGAATAGAGAAACACTTCTCTTGGATCCCACTAGATGAAATTGTTTAAGTGATAGGTTCTTGGGAGAGTTATTATAGCATTATAGGCAGCATAAAAATATTGTGAAGAAATAATTTTCAGAAAATTTTTGCTTTTCTGATATACTTGCTTTAAAGAACATTTTACAAAGTGTTTTAAATCTTTAAATAATGCCTTTACATTGCACAATTATTCTTTTTAAAAGGTTTTTACAGAGTTAGGGTGTGAAGCTAACAAGCCTTTAGACCTGTTTTAGCATTCATTTAAATTAGTGTAAAAAAAGCAGCACAATAAGAAATGTGGCCTTTTCATCCACCAAACATAAACTAGAACACAGAATATATGCATACTTGTTCTTTCCGCTGCACACACATTTTGAAAGTACAATTTTTCCTTTCATGCATGTTCAAATCCTCGGGATGTGGAACTCTGTCAGTGTAAACACCTGACTTTTAAAGTGTCTTCTTGATGAAGGCCATGTAGGCAGCTGGGAGGAGCTAGAAAACATATAGAAGGCAGCATAAAAGAATAAAATTATACAATAACCAAACTACAATGTACCCCAAAGTGCTGGGGGGACAAAATTAAAGTTCCCCATCCTGAATCTTTATGAAAACACCAGTCCTGGTGTTGCTGCTTGTCTCTTCCCCAGCATCCTGGTTGATTAGCTAGATCAGAGTCGGGAAATTTGTGCCCCTCCCCCCAATTCCAAGAACCATTTTCCCAATCCAGATCCCTTCCCAAAGGTGGCAAACCAAAATTGGTAGACCTTTTAAAGATTTGTGAGAGGGAGGTAGAAAGCCAACAGGCATGCCACCCATTCTGCTTTTTAATAACGATTTCATAACCACAACCACAATCAACACAAAACAAGTTTACTTTTACCAGTTTGGAAGAAGGTCTGTGTGTCATCCTTTAAGTCCCCTCAAAGAAGCCTGACCTGCTAGCTACAATCAGTCCAATGGTGCCATGATTCCTGGGGTTCCAGGCAGAAGATAAAGGTAAAGCATAGCATCCCGAGGCAGAAATAGTTACTCATTCTTAAAGTAGGATTTGGGAAGTGGGTGTGGCTCTCCAGTCAGCAAGTCATACAAAAGGCCTGCTTGGCCAGAGGCCACATGTTTCCAGCAATCTAAGCATTTCATATTGTTGAAGGAAGCGAAAGTTGATCCTTTGAAATGGAAATGCCAAGGTTTGGCTGTGGAGCTTTTGCTGATATGTCACTCTCACCCCAGACCAGTAGCCTAAGGCTCCATAGCACTGCTTGAATGTCCAAGAGCATCTCCATAAATTCAGGCAGGGAGACTGCTGGGTAAAAAATGGCTTGCATATGGGAAAAACAGTAGAGGGAGCTATTTCTTCCACCTAGACCTCCTGAATGAATGGTGGGCGAATAATTTAACCAATAAATCTATACTTCCTCCACATACAGTATTAAACAAACACATTTGGCTGAGAATACTTTGTTCAGCAGAAAACCAGACACAATAACAGTGCAAAGCATAGAACATAGACTAATAGAGTTGGAAGGGACCTTGGAAGTCTTCTAGTCCAGTGGTCGCCAACCGGTGGGCAAGGGGCCACTGATGGTCTATGAGAAAAATTTGGTGGTCCGCTGAGAAATGTCCCTCCAAAGCAATTAATCCAGGATGCACAGGAACAAAAGGCTGCATTGCCCACATGGCCTGCCCACCCACTAGCCCCCACCTTTCAACCAAGAGCAAACCTTACCTTGAGTAGAGCCACACGAGTTGGAACTAGAAGGTAAGACCAACGGTGGGGAAGGGAAATCTGCCGCTGGGTGTCTTGCTGATGTTGGTGGGAAAATCGGTCCCATATTCCAGAGCTGCAGTAGTCACAAGACTGGCCCTTTGGTCATCCTGGAGCAACTCCTCCAGTCCATGGCAGGCCGGTGCACCTGGGTGGAGGAGCAGCTACTCCTGGATGACCAAAGGGCCAGTCCTGTGACTACTGCAGCTCTGGAATTTGAGACCGACTTACATCAGCAAGCCACCGTCATTCAAAATTCATATTAGTGGTCTGCGGGATTTAGAATTATGCGTTTGGTGGTCCCTGAGGTCCAAAAGGTTGATGACCCCTGTTCTAGTCCAACCCCTGTTCTAGTCCATTCTCGAGCTGGAGATCCTACACCATTTCAAACAAGTAGCTGTCCAGTCTCTTCTTAAAAGCCTCCTTCTTAAAAGCAATCTGCTTGAGGCAGTAATATGACAAGGAGACAGTTTAGGGTGAAATTGGTGCCTAATTGTGTCATCTATTCTTTTTTGCAGTTTTGAAATCTGCTTTAGTTATGAAATGTCTTGGGCCAGGACTGAAAAGAACCAAGAAATGTTCAACAAGGAGCAGTAAGTGTATTCTAAATATTGGAGAAGAGTCAGACAGAATCAAATTCTAATGCAAGCCTTTGCTGGGTTGGTTCTACAAAAATTATCATGCCAATTCTTACTGCAGTTGCTGTTAGTTTCTGAACACAATTCAATTCAAAGGATCCATCACACCCCCCCCCCCAAAAAAAAACAGTTTTGTGAAGGACCTCATGAGGATTAGCTCCTGAGACTGTGTTCCTAGCTCAGCAAGTGAAATCACATGGTTGAAAGCAAGAGACATGACCTCCGCTGCTACGATACCCCTAAAATTCTTTTTTTCCATGGAATATGACAGCTGCACTCTTGGGCTTAATTTCAACATCAAATATTTCTAATTGGCACCTTTTAAGGGGAGGATTTAGGTTGCCAGATTATTTTATTGCTCAACTATGACATATTATATATTGTGATAGTTGTAATTTATTATTAAGAAGCCATCCATGATTGCAATCCTGTGGTGGTGCTGCCCTAAAGACCCAAGGGCCACAGCTGACACAATTTCCCCTTCAGATCCCTCCGAGTGCTACAATCCAGGTTTCAGCATTCCTGTTTTACCCATTCACATGGCTTATCCCTCCATATATGCATCTGTGCACGTTGATGAGCTTGCAGAGATGAATAAACAATGATTGTGTATATATGTATTATTATATTTGTGTATAAAAACAGCTCAGAATGGCAGGGGCAGCATCAACAAGAAAAGTGGAGAACACCTGTGTGATCTGCTGATACAACATGGCTTCAGGTAAGCTTCTGAATATCAATAGGGAAGTTATTACTTTTTAACGGATGGGAGAGCTGGAAATAGCAAAAAGACATCCATTCAGTGGGTCCAGCCTTTATACTGAAAAAAAGATTGTGTACTAATTTTCCATACAAGATATATCCATTAAGCAAAATATAGAAAGAAGTCATGGTTATTATTAAATTTGGGAGATAGAAGGGTGTATTATTTTTATATTCTTTATTGAAATTTTAAATTTTTATACTGGTGAGTATAAAACAGAAGCAACAGTAAGACCCAATTCTCCCATGGGAGAAACAAAAAACAAAGAGAGAATGCTACTAATTATGGTATACTCGACGCAAACAGGTATCTGAAAAAATGCTCAACTAAAAAATGGAGAAAACAAGAACTGTATGTATGTGTGAAACTGCTGCAACAGCAACTTGTAAAGTTTCCTATTTATTAACTCATCTAGAAGCATTGTGATGGCCGGTTTGAAGAAGAAGAGGGAGTGCATGTTCAAATAATGCATCCTGCATGATTGTGTATACAAGTGTTTCTGTTTTACATGGGTTCCTATTTGCTTCTGCCACCCAGAAACTCAACTGGTGCTCTGCTCAACTGAAGTATCAGCAGCGATGGAACCTTTGTGCATGTGCATCTTTTGTATGTGTTACGTTTGCAGTCATGAAAAGAACTTGCAGTTAGTGCTTCATTATGCATTAAAGTGGAAGATTTACCAATATGTCATCTTTATTTAAGAAGCCAACCTTCTTCGTCTTCCTCTGCAGGGACCAGTAGTCCTTCCTTTTTGCTTACCATTGGCTTGTTTATCTTGGCTCTGCAATGGACAGACGGAGGAGCCTCCCCCACAATACCACTCTCCAGTCTGTTTACCAATGCTGTGCTAAGAGCACAGCATCTCCATCAGCTCACAACAAATACCTACAAGGAATTTGTGAGTAGTGGTCCGTGTTTTAGGTCAGCTAAACTTTTAGGTTGCATCATCATTCCTGCTAGAGTGTTCAGCAGCTTGGAAGCAGAATAGGTTCATCTAAAAGTAAAATGGGGAATTCTCTAGGGTCACGGGATATATTAAAGCGTAAAAAAAGAATATGACATGTAGCACTTTATTTTTTAAAATGATATGGGAAAGTGCTTCCCCTCCCTCACATGTTTTATATGTTCTCAAATCTTCCATTACTGGATCAACTTAGAGTTGCCACAAACCAAACAATCTTTAGATAAGGCTCTCTTTTGAAATATTTACTATTTGCTTATTCTCTTAGCTAATATTAGTATTGCATTGCTTCTGATCTTAATGTCTTTGCTCAGTTAGTAATTTTTAGATAATGTTATTCAAAACTCTGCACACTCTCACCTTTTCTACTTCTTTGTAAATGGTGGCATTTTATGGGACTTATAAAGGAGCGATCCTATATCCCAGAAGAGCAGCGATACTCCATCAAGAATTCTCAGACTGTATATTGTTACTCAGACACCATCCCTTCACCCACGAGGAAAGAGGAAACCCAACAAAAGACAGTAAGCCAACTCCTATCATTTTTTATTTCATGGAAGAATTATTTTGGTGCCCCAAATATATAACTTGTGTTGCCTCTCTTCCCACTTTCACAAAGTTCTCAAGAAGTATTAACAAGAGCACTAAATGTATTCTAAACATCAGAGGAGAGTCAGACAGCTAGCTAGTCAGACACCCTGGTAAAAGTGAAGGGGACTGGAAGCCATAGTCAACCATCTGAAGTGCTGCCAGGTCCTTGTTTCTATGTTGGAGGATCTAATCCCTAGAGGACAGAACATTAGAAACTCTATACTTTATCACATTTGCAAATTTCAAATACCTTTGGCAAAGATTCAGGTAGACTGTTACTCTCTGGCATTTTACCATGGTACAAACATGCCCTGGCAGTATACTGTATTTTTTCCTCTGATGTTTCCCTATGATATTATCTTTATCTTGACCATAATCCATGGCTAAGCTGTTTATTATCTAGGCATATTTCCCAGGCTGCACAAGTTAGTTTTCCACATCTCTCTGAGATAGAGATTCTGAACAGAAATACCCAGATATAGCATGTCTACCCTTAGCTGTTTTGGCATTTGTGGTTCCTCTTTAACCCCAAAACATGCAATAGCTATAAGATGTTTAACATCTGTTATGTTTCACCACCCATTTGCAGAGGTAAAGTCAGGTGATCAACAGTAGGTGAGATTGAAAAAATGCTTATTGACTGGTCCTAGATGATGCAGGCATGAGCTTCTTTCTTTCTTTCCAATCCAATTCCTCTGCTGCTTCAAACATTTTAGAAAAGGGTTCTCTGCCCAGTTGCTGGGTGATGGGTGGGGCCTAATTCAGGAGTGGGATTCAAAATTTTTAACAACCAGTTCTGTGAGCGTGGTTTTGGTGGTGGGTGTGGCTTGGTGGTCATGTGACTGGATGGACGTGACTTGGTGGTCACGTTATTGGCTGGGTGTGGCTAACTCAATATCACTCACATCAAGGCACACATCTCGCCTGGCCTCTCATGACTGTGGGGATGTTGCAACAGTCATAAGTGTGAAAAATGGTCATAAGTCACTTTTTTCAGTGCCATTGTAACTTTAAATGGTCACTCCACACAAACAAAGTACCAGCAAAGAAGAGGAAAAAAACTCCAGAGACGTTCCTGAGACAGGAAGTCTAGTCCTGCCAAGAATGTAATAAGAGTTAACCAAGAAGCAGTTTCTGTAAGCAACACCAAAATGTTTCCTTCCTGCCTTCCTTACAGGATTAGGCCAGTAATTTCTTCTAACAACCGGTTCTCCGAACTGCTTAGAATGTTAACAACCGGTTCTAGCGAATAGGTGCGAACTGGTAGAATCCTACACCTGGCCTAATTGGTGTCCTGCATCATAATGGTGGGGGGGCATTTTTGCCCTTCCCGGGCTCCTGGGGCTTTTCTTAACTCTCCAGGAGGCCAAAAACATCTTCCCAGGCTCAGGAGGCTCTCTGGGAGCCAGAAATGGGCCCATTTCCAGCCCTCCCTGAGCTTCCATACACAACCTGCATCCAAAATGGACTGTGTGGAGACTCCTGGGAGGGACGGGATGGGCGGGGCCAGCCAGGAGTGGGATTTGGGGGTTCTTTGAACTGCTCAGAATCTTAGCTAGGGCTCTCCCGAACCCCTGCGAACCCCCAGTAGCCCACCCCTGGGACCAACTCTTTCCATATCTCCACCCTTTCCAGCACAGAAATATCTGGAAGTTTCTAATATAAAACAGGATGTGGGAAGAAAGAAGGATGCTAAATAAAAGTTTTGTTTCTCATTTAGTTCCCTACATGACTCCAAATTTTTTTATTCAGCTTGGAAAGGCAGCACAAAAAGGTGCCCAGTGATACAACACTTCTGAAATTATATCTTTCCTCTTCTTGCTGGAGTGCTATGAGTACATCAGTGCTTCAGAGAAGGCGGTAAGAGGTTGACATCATAGCCCCATGCCTTCTCTGTGTTCCTCGTGATGTCAATCACATGTCCCAAATAGGAGGATCTTGTGAGTCAATAGTGTGAATTTACTGCAGAATTAGTAGGTATATTTCCATTCAGCTAATGATGTGAAGAAGGAAGGCACTAAAGGCAGAAGATTAAACCGTCATCTTTTGCTTTCATGAAGTACACTCACAATCAGAATAACAGCATTAAACAGTGAGTCAGAAAGAGGATAAGCTGTCAAACTCCCAGCCTGCGGGCTGGATGCCTCACGCACTGGCCACACCCACGCCTAGTTTAGCGAAAGGAGAAAAAGTCCCAATATGTCACGTGACACACCTGCATTAGAGGCAACATATTTTCTGCAAACAAATTGTACTCTTCTGTCAATGCAAGGACCTTCTGTATAGCATTTGACTCAATACTGAGAAAGACCTAAGATCATCTACTTCACAAAGCCAAAGTCATGCTTTACAAATCACAAACCTGGATTCATACAGCACATGGGTAAAGGTAAACACAGATTATGGCTTTGTATAATGAACTCAGTCATATTATACCAATCCATCCCAGAGCATGCTACTCTCCAAATGGTACCTCTGCAAATTTTCTCCTTATTACTTCTTTCATTTAATCAGTGTCAAATCTAAGCTAGGCAAGAATGTTATTTGTTTTGGGCTTAATTAAATGTCTAAAAATCCATCCATTCTGGCTTATAAACAATTAAACCTATATAGAGAACCTTCCACATTAAGCCAAAATGAAATCAGGTCGTATTATGGATTAGTTTTACATATCATATTTTCATTGGAGCAAAAGAGATATATTCGATAAACATTTAAAAACAAACCAGGAAGTATTTTTATCAATTACTGTCCATACATGTCCCTTCCAATAATGAAAAGTGTGTCACTGCAGTTTACCAAAAAAGTAGGCTTAAAGCAGGCTTAAGGAACTGATCAGAAAATAGGCAGTTTGCCCTGGTTGGAATTTTTCTTGCCTGTTGTACTTCTATTGCCATTTATCTTAAAACAGACAACTGAATGCTATTATCCTTGCTCTTCTTCTTCTTTGGGCTCTAGGAGTTAGGATAGAAAAACAGAAGTCTTTAAATTGCATTTTTAAGGGTATCTATTTTTCTAGGATATGGAACTGCTGAGGTTTTCGCTGATTCTCATTCAGTCCTGGCTAAATCCTATACGGTTTCTAAGCAGGATGTTTACGAACAGTCTTGTGTTTGGGACCTCAGACAGAGTCTACGAAAAACTCCAAGATTTGGAGCAAGGTATCCAAGTTCTTATGAGGGTAAGCAATCCCTTCTTCTTCTTCTTTTGGTAATTCATGTTTTATTTACAGTTTTCCTTTTACACATATTTTGTGGACAGTGCATTGATTGGGTCAATGTCCTTTTTAAACAATGCTAACAATGATAATACAAATAAGTCTATATAATCCTAATCTTCCAACTTCA